TATGACCTAGCCTGCACCTCTTTCTTGGGAAGTTGCCTTTTGCCTGGGACTGGGCCCAAGCACCATTGCAGGGGAGGCCTCTGGCCTCCGAGGCTGGGCCTGCAGGTGCCAGTCACCACAGTCCCTCTTCATGGCTCCCTGCAGGGAATCCAGCCCAGCCAGACTCGTGTGGGAGGCTTGGCCCCTTGAGTGGGCGCTGTGGGGACCTAGCCTGCACCTCTTTCTTGGGAAGTTGCCTTTTGCCTGGGACTGGGCCCAAGCACCATTGCAGGGGAGGCCTCTGGCCTCCGAGGCTGGGCCTGCAGGTGCCAGTCACCACAGTCCCTCTTCATGGCTCCCTGCAGGGAATCCAGCCCAGCCAGACTCGTGTGGGAGGCTTGGCCCCTTGAGTGGGCGCTGTGGGCCAGGGTATTTGCAATGCCATCCAGGAGTCTTGTCAAAAAGACCCCATTTCGGGAAAGATATGGCGACATTGGAGATGGTGCAGAGCAGCAGCCGGGATCCAGCCTGTTGAGGGCAGGCTGACCCTGGGCTTGTTTACTTTGTAGAGGAGATAGAGGGGACATGACAGGCTGTTGCAAGGAGGAGGGGAGAATTGGCCTCTGCGTCTGGGACAAGAACCAATGTGCTTAAACTGCAGATCGGCAGGGTTAGGTTGGACATGAGGGAAAACGGTCAGAGTGGCACTGTAATCAATTGCCCAGAGACGTTGTGGAGCATGTCAGACAAATGCCTGCAAGGATGGTCTAGAACAGGGATGGGCAAATTTTAGGCTGCATCCTGCCCCTTTGACCTTTTCCTCTGGCTTTCAAGGGCTTGCCCTGCTGTGGGTCTCCACACACCTCCCCACCACAAGCTCCAGCTCCTATTGGCTGTGGGTCCTGTGCCCTGGGAGCTGTGGGGGCAGAGCTGGAGGAGGAATGGGCTGCTGCTTTCAGGAGCCGTTTCAGATTAGCCCTGCCCAGATCTTTCTCTGCCCCATACCAAACTTACTCCTTGCTCCCAGAGGGAGGCGGGGAGCAAATCTGGATGAGCACCCTCTGGAGGGAGCTCACCTGGGCTGATGTGCTGCCTGTCCATGGGGCAGAGGCCATTCGACAGAGTAACCAGATGCTGCGGCAGCGCTACCAGGAGTTCGTGGGGTTCCAGGCTGTGCAGCGTGAGGAGAAAGACTTCCTGTTGCTCCGGTTCCGGGAGGCCCGGGATGTGGTGCAGAAGCTAAATGCTGAGCGGGCCGAGATGAAACGCCAGCTGGAGCAGGCCCTCCAGGAGGTGGAGCAGCTCAAGGGAAGCCAGAAGGTATCAGGAGAGCTCCCTGCCACCTCGCCAAGGGGCAGCAGGGCTTCAGGGTTGGGACACCTGCTCTCAGACATGCAGAAAGAGATCCCTGAGCCAGAGGAGGCGGACACGACGACTCTGACCCAGGAGCTGGCAGAGCCCACGATGGTGAGAGACATCTGGCCAGGGGCTCTCTCTGACCCCAGCTTCCCATTACCTGAGGTACAGAGTAGCCAACCCCAGTTGGCTGTGCTTGCTGCACCTCAGACTGTGCTGGTGAAAGGAGAAAGCCCCTCTGGGTCCCAGCCCCAGTCTTTCTCAGCAGGGGGGAAGCACCTTGTGGCATCTGTCCTTCACTATCCCCAGGCCCCTGGTCAAGAGACCCAGCAGCTGGAGCAACACCAGGAGGCCAGCCAAGTCCAGCAGCAGGTGCAGCCCAGCAACGTGGGGCTCAAGGTAAGGGCCTGCTGGGTGTGGGAATGTTCTTCCCAATGCCCCCATCTCTTGGTGGTGGTATCTAGAATCACAGGCCTCTCACTCCCCTTAGTGTGAGGGGACCATGTCTGCCCCAGCCAGAGCTCAGCTCCCTGCCAGCTACAGCCATGGGCAGCACCAGCCCTCTCCTCAGTTTGCATGGCCGAGAGTCTGCTGGAATGACCACCAGCCCTGCTTTGCACAGCTCACATGAGACAGCCAGTGTCAGGCTCACAGGGAATGGAGACTTCAAGAGAAATGCCGGTGTTTTAGGGCCTGAACTCCAGTTCCTAGCTGCCCTGCATCTCACAGCGCACTTCTCCCAGCGCTGGGGAGCCAGCGCAACTAAGCTCCCCTGGCCTGAGGGCAAGCCCCAATAGCTTCTCTCCTCCGGGCTGCTCCTTAGTATGGACATGTAGAAGTGCAACCCACTCCTGCGGCTGGAGACCGTCCCAACACACACTGCCTCTAACACCAAGGCCTTGAGAGCGTTTCCCAGCATGGGCACGGATTGCTCCTGTGCATGCACGTCACAAAGCTGGGCATGACTAGTGTGAGGCTGGCACTCACTGGACACTCGCCAGGAGGATATCTGGAGTGTGAACCCCAGCACCAGGGGCTCTCTAATGCCTCTGCCAGTTGGCAGGATCTCTTCAGCGTGCCAGCCACACAGCCTCACTGCATCTGGGGCTGAGCCTTGGGCTCCAGCCTGCTGGAGCCACACCATGAGCACTGACTCCTAGTCAGAGAGGCGGATGCAGGGAGTGATGCCCCCAGGCAGGACTTGCAGGGAGTCCAGGCAGCATTTGCAGAAAAGAGTCGGGGCAAGAGGCACCTTGAACCCGGCATGTAGTGTCTTTGGGCTCACACAGAGAAATCAGAACAATTTGCTGCCAGCCAAGTGGGCCCCACTTGAGGCTGACTTGCCCCATTCTGTGTCAGGTGAGAGCCAGGCACTTTATCCCCTGCTTGCTGCCTCCAGGCCTGGGTTCCCCACAGAGATGGGGGCTAAATATCAGCAGGTTCCACCCTGCTTCCTATCTCCTGAACAGCCCAAGAGCCAGCTTCCCTTACTTTGCATTGCTTCGGCAGGATGGGGTAAGGGGAAACTGAGGTATGATGCAGGGTCAGAAAAATCTCATTTGGGGATCAGGGATGTTTGAGGCAAGTGGGGAGGGGGCAGCAGGGCCCCCTCCCTGTTCCTGGGAGGGGGGATGGACACCTTTCATGGGGTGCCTTGTGCAGGGCAGGGACAGCTTGATTTTTCATGGTATTGGGCTGGTTGCACTCAGCTGGGGCCATTTCCTGGGAGCAGGTGAGGGGGGAGCATGCTCAGCTGGGGGCTGGCTGTGTTCAGCCACGGGCCAGTTCCTGGGGCAGGGTGATGCTGGTGTGCTCGGCTGGGGCTGTTTCCTGGGAGTGGGTGAGGGGAGTGGGGCATGCTCAGCCAGGGACTGGCTTGCAGGGCAGGGCTGGTTCCTGGGATGGGGTTTGCCATTGCAGGAGTCATGGCTCAGTGGTACCGGTGTCATTAGCAGGAGAATGGGGTGCAGCTGGAGAGGCCTGTGGAGCTGGAAACCCTGCAGGGCAGTGGGGACAGCAGGTAAGAGCAGCTTATGTATTGGAGGGAATGATAGTGAGACTGGGAAGCTCTTTCACTGCTGGGGCCTGGCTCCCCTTTGCCCTGATGTGGTTGGGCAGCCCTTCCCCTGCTGGGAAGTAGATGGGGCAGGTTCTGCAGATGGCACCACAGGGGGCATGTCTGTACGATGAGGCTGGCAGGGAGGGTAATGGAGGGGAGCAGAGCCCCCTGCTGCTGGGCACTCCTCACCACCCTGCCTGTCCTTTCAGAGCCAGTAGCAGTCGGGAGGCAGCCGAGCTGTTGCAGAGGCGGCTGAAGGAGGCAGAGGAGGAGTAAGTCGCTTGGACCAGTGCTGGCACCTGCTTGTGTATTAGGGGCCAGTGCAGGGGTTTGGGGCAGGGGGGAGAAAGGTGCTTGGCACTTAAGGAGGTGGGTCACTTGTGTGCAGGCTAGTTTGGCTGGGGGTGGGGCTGGATTGGTGAGAGGGGGTGGGACAATTTGTGTGGGGGCTGACAGAGGGGTGCTGGACACAGGTAAGACATGGGCCAGCTGGGAGAGGGGTGCAGGATACCCGAGGGGGGGGCAGCATGTCTGCTCTCCACTCAATGGGCTGTCTGGCAGGAGCACAGGGCTGAAGCAGAAGCTGGCAGCTGTGCAGGATGAGGTGGCCACGCTGGCAGCCAGGGCACAGGATGCAGAACAGCAGGTGCAGGCCCTGAGGAAACAGCTGGAGGTAACATTTCCCTGTGGGGCCACCGAGCCCAGCCCTGGCAGGGTCCCTGGCTCCCCCTTTCCCTGGGGCAGCCATGCTGCTCTATTGCCTTTATGCCAGGGAGGAGAGACTTCTCCAGACTGCAGGGATGGGTGCTGAGTGTGCTCCAGCCAGATTATCCTTTGCAGCAGCCCCGGCTTGGCAGAGACGCCTGTGGTGAGACCCACTAGTACCCCAGCCCTCGGCTTTGCTGCCTTGCAGTGCTTGGGCTCCCACTGGAAGGGCTGCTCCCCCTTGAAATGGGTCAGCTGCAGCCAGCCCTCCAGCAACCCCTAGATGTGACACCCTTGCCCACCTCAATCCTTGCCAGGATCCGCTTTCTAACCCTTCTGCCCCTAGCCATGGGATTGCAACCTCCAGTCAATTAGTCACTACCAGGCATGTGGGTTGTAACGTCAGCAGGGTATCCCCCCAGTCGCCACACGGATGGACACATCCACCTCCCGCTCCCTCCAGGGAGTTAGGAAGTGGGAAAGGGGGAGCTCCCACAGCAGGAAGAGGGTGGGAGGAGGTCTCTGTCAGCCTCAGCATCTCTCTGGATCTGGGCTCCCCAGGCTGTGTAGCCAGGGCTCATGTGGGCTTCTTTCCCTCATGGCAGCAGATGACGGAGGACAGGGCCTCGGTGAAAGCCCAGGTGACTTCCCTACTGGGGGAGCTGCAGGAGAGTCAGAGCCGGCTGGAGGCCTGTGTACTGGAGAAGAAGGATCTGGAGGGGAAGTGAGTGTGTACAGCTGTGAATCTCCCCTCACCTGAGGCTGGCAGCATAGCAGTTTGGCTGCAGCCCCTGACCTGTCCCAGGAGGCTGGGAGCAGGATGCAGGCCTTGGCCAGTGAGGGGCTGGATTCTTCTGCTAATGCCAATATTTCTTGCCAGAGCCCAGGCTGCTGCAGAGCAGGGCCGCCGGCTGGCTGGGGAAGCTGAGGCGCTGCACAAGCAGCACAGTGTGCAGGTAGACCAGTTGCGCATGCAGGCCCAGAACCTAGAGGCAGCGCTGCGAGTGGAGAGGCAGAGCGCCACAGAGGAGAAGTGAGTGGGGTGGGGACCTGGGTGCCTGTGTGTGTGTGTTGGGGGGGCGGGGCATGAAGCTGCTCTGCTGACCTCCCTGTTCTTGCATAGGCGGAAGCTGGCCCAGCTGCAGGCTGCCTATCACCAGCTCTTCCAGGAGTACGATTCCCACATGAAATCTAGCCTCGACCAGGAGAAGAGGAGCCAGGTGGGTTTAGGGCTGGTGTGTGGGAAAGGGGGGCGGGGGGGGTCTACCTAGCTGGGTCCTTCTCTGCCCCCCAGTGCCCTGTAGCTCAGGGCAGGATCTGCTCCCACTCAGGGCATGGAGCTTCACCTGGAGGAGCTATTGCAGCAGCTGCAGCAGGCAGAGGAGGCACTGGTAGCCAAGCAGGAGCTGATTGACAAGCTGAAGGAGGAGACAGAGCAGCACAAGACCTTGCTGGAGACCATCCCGGTGCTGAAGGCTCAGGTGGGGGTAACAGCATGGTTGCTGAAGGCCTAGGTGCGGGTAGGGATGTGAACGACTAGTCGACTATCCCATAAGCCAGGGCTGGCCAACCCGCAGCTCATGAGCCACATGCGGCTCCCCCCCTTAAATTGCGGCTTGCAAAGCCACCCCTGCGCTCCTAAAAACAGCCCCCTTGGGCTCCCTGTCTGGCATGGCGAAGCAAAATGGCAAATGTGTCTGGTGGTTTTTTGTTTTTGTTTTTTGCTCAACATTTTCCCCTCTGCCTGTGCACTATATCCCCAACGATTGTGGCTCTTTGCAGGGGTGGCCAACCCATTAAAGGTAATGAGCAAATGCTTATCAGATAGTTGACACCCTTATTAACTAGTTGCTTTCCCCTTCTTGCTGCTTCTATCAGAAAGAGACAGCAAGGTGTGGAGCCCAGGATCAGCTGCAGTGCTGCCTTGAAATGTTGCAGGGAGGATGGGCCCTGTGCTCCCTGCAGCGCTTTTGCCTTTGAAATGTAGCAGCAGCCCGGCTGCATCTAGACTGGCATGATTTTGCGGAAATACTTTTAATGGAAATGTTTTTCCGTTAAGTATTTGCACAAAAGAGCGTCTATATTGGCAAGTGCCTTTGCGCAAAAGATTTGCTTTTGCGCAAAAGCATCTGTGCCCAGTATAGACGCAGTTTTGCGCAAGAAAGCTCCGGCGGCCATTTTCGCCATCAGGGCTTTCTAACGCAAAAAATTCCTGTCCCTGTCAACACTGGCCCTCTTGCACAAGAATTCTTGAGCAAGAGGGCTTTTTCCTGAGTGCGTAGCATCAGAGTTCTTGCGCAAGAACACTGAGCAAATTCTCGCGGCCAGTTTAGACAGCTGACAAGATTTTGTGCAAAAGCAGATGCTTTTGCGCAAAATCTTGCCAGTCTAGATGCACCCCCCTGGTGCTGTTGCTACACTTTAAAGGTGAAGGTAGCCTTATGGGTTATTCAATTCTACATCCCTAGGTGGGGAGGTAGCCATGTAGTTGCTGGATACCCAGGTGTGGGCAGGTGCATGGAGTTAGGGTGGGGAGGGGTGGTAGTAGCTAGGTGGTCATTGAAGGCCC